AACTCAAAAATAAGAAAACCAGGTATTATTAATATATTTATCATTTATGTTAAGAAAAAGATCAAAAAAAAAAAAAAAAAAATATGGGAGTGCATTTATCATATTCTTTTAAGTCATGTTTGGTGTGAGTGAATAGAATCAAATAAAACTGGAATGGAATATTTTTGTTTTCATTCTCTTGTTTGGTATGTCACATTAAAAATGGAATGGACATTCTCAGAAATGCTAAAAAAAAATCAAAGACAAAAAAATAGCCTTTGGCTTCATTTCTCTCTCTCTCTCTCTGCGTACCAAAAATACACATGTAAAAGTGAAGCTCACAGGTGTGGGATGAGGCTCGCTGGACTAACCTTTTGGTTTGGTCATCACTAGTCTCGTCGGACTTGTTCACAAAGTTTGTCGGAACTATTGGTCACCGTGACTGAAGCACGCTGGAACTGATGCTTCAGTTGAATCGTCAATGCTCACTGACCAAGCTTCGGATGTGAACTTTGGTGGGTCATTGGAGTGAGTTGAAACTTAGCAACTCGCCAGAATGATGAAGATTCTGCAACTGGAGCACATCGGAATTAATAGACCTTTGTTGCTCGGAATTCACACCGGAATCACTGGTTGAATGAAGCTCGCCAGCGTTCATGGTGATAGAGCATCAACTGGGTCTATCTTTACCGGAACCGTTGAGTCTTTGAATGCAGCTCGCCGATTTGCCAGAGCTGAAGGGTTTTCACCGGTTTTAATGGAAGTCGAGAGTCCCAGTGTTCACCGGTTTTAACAGAAGCCAAAGGTCTGAACTTTCGCCGGAACAGTGAAAAGACTCCCTTCTTTGCTTGGCCACAATGAACACTTCAGATTCAATTTGTATCAAGCTCTGATTTGCTTGTAAATGATTTCTTTCACCAGATTCAATTTATTGTTCTCCTGTTATATCTATAATACCCACATATATATACATGTATATACTTACATATACATATATTTATGTTTCTCTACTTTCTCTCTCCATCCTGTTTATTTTCTCTTTTTATTATCTATTCTCCCTTTTGTTTTTGTAGAAGTTAATTTTTTTAGTTAAATTTTTTTACTAATAATAAAATATAATTTAAAGAAATAATATAAATTCATTCCATTCCAACTTTTTTCCCAAACACAGGAATAAGAGTGAGCATTTCATTTTTACACATTCATGTTTGCAACCAAACGATAGAATGAGAATCATCATTCTCATTCCATTCTCTTGTCATTTCATTCCCACCTCCATTCTCTTGTCATTCCATTCCCACCTCCATTCTCATTCTATTCCAATTCATTCCACCACACCAAACTAGCCCTTACAATATTCTTTCAATTCATTTCTTTTCCCTCATAAATAAGAAATGATAAATGCACCTCTTTTTCATTTTATTTTCTTAAACTAATGTAAATATCCTGATGTAGGACAATTTTATCCACTTAGTAATTTTTATTATTTAGATTCCTTATTTATTTTATTTTTATATTTTTTATAGGAAGTGTAGTTTTATTTAATTTCTTTGAGGAATTGTTTTCTTTTTGTTATTAGGTTTCTTTATGTTTTTGTTTTCTTGTAGAGTTAGGTTTCTATTATTATAAATAATTGTACTGCAAAGTGCAGAATTAACCTTTTATTCATACAATTATTAAATAATATATTAGATTTCTTTGAATTCTCTTTTCGTTTTATGGATTCAAAACACTCACCTTATGGATTCAAGGTAAGCTGCTCCTAGTGAACAAATTTATCACTTCCGCTTACGTCAGTTGGTATCAAAGCCTTGTCTTTTCCTGGTCTAATGGCAGGTGGCAGGTGATCGTTTTCGTGGCAACCTCACTGGCAACGAAGATCGATAGAGAATGGCTCCTTATAGAATCGAATTTCAAGACTATCAAAGTGAAACCCAGCAAACGTTGCAAGATATTTAAGCAAAGATTGTTAGGCTTAAGTTGGGTCTAGAGCAGAACCGCGATAACAATAGGTTGTGCAACGACATAGATCGTGTTCATCCTGTTCGTAATCGCAACCCCTTCCCTCCGCATAGTCAATCAGCCTATGAGGAAAAGGTGTTTGGGGATCATAGAGACGCACAAAGATATCATGATTATGGGGATTATGATTTTAGGAATTTTCCTTCTAAAAGTTTTGATGGTCTCTTTCATGTTGAAGATTTTTTTAGATTGGCTAGAAGATTTTGAGAGGTTCTTTGATTACATGGGGATTCCAAAGGATAAAAAGGTGGCACTAGTCGCATACAAATTGAAGGGAAGAACTTTTGTTTGGTGGGATCAATTATTGGTCACTCGTGCACAACAAAGAAAAGCATCAATACAATCTTGGTTGAAGATGAAACGTATTTTGAAAGCCAAATTTCTTCCACTAGATTACGAGGAATGTGAGAAGAATCAATTTTAGTCGTATTAGGATTATCGACCAAGGTGTAGGAAGGTTCTGCCTTATGCCTTCGAAAGTTCAACATACTCCAATGATGGAACGGTTTGCAAGCAGGCATAAAGTAATAATAAAATTATATATGTCCAAGAAATAACACCCCAAGGTAATTGCTTAGAAGAAGAGAAGTAAAAAATAAATGAAAAGGATGAAGTTGTCGGTTTTGTACAACCTAGAAAAGAAAGGGATAAAATTGTTGTTACTAATCTTGTAAAGCAAATCAAGAGTGCTACTAATATTGTTGGGCCAATATTTGTTGAAGGGGATATGAGTTTTTCAATATAAAAGCAACTGCCCAAACACAAGTTATTATTAGGGTTCATAGGTGGAACTTCCACAAAGAAACAAAGTATTGGGTTAGTATTTCTCACTATTTTTGCTGGTCCTCCTCTGCTTGTCGGAGCTTCTCTGCGTGTCGGAGTTTTCTCTGCGTGTCGGAGCTACTTTTTTCATCGGTGTTCTCTCTGCTTGTCGGAGTGCTACAGTGGGGGGCCGTTTTGATCGGCCTGTTTAGTCAATTTCCTCACTGTTATGCTCGTTGCTTAGAGTTTTGAGGCTTGTTTGTGTTAGGATTGTTGAGGCGGTATGAGATTCTATTGCGGCAAGTTGGTTTTTTGGAGATCCTTAAGGCTCACAATACTGACTGTTTATCAGAGGGTTGTTGGTCTGGCTGGGGATACCGAAGCTGTATCAGCGGTAGAGAGCGTATGGTTCTTTAAATCTTTGTTAGTTATCTGTCATGTTCTTTTGGTTGGAGTTCTTGGTAAAAGCGGCGGCGCTGCGTTTTTCTATTGTGGCAAATTTGTTTCATTGCAGATCTTTGAAATGAGCTCTATTGGTTGTGTCTTGGGAGGTTCTTGGTGCAATTGGGGCCACTGTTGTGGCTTATTCGGTGGCTATAGTGATGGATCGGCCGGCGGCTATTGCCATTGCTGATGGACACGAATCTACTGTCTCCCGGAAACGTCTGGAATACGCGAGATAGGGACTACAGGTTTGGTGGGCCAAGGTCTAGCACATAATTAGGCCGCTCAGTCATCCTCTTTGTTGGCAAATGGGCTGAACCCAGTTAGGGACTTCAATCATCTGAGGTCTTGTAGGCTAACTAATAGTGGTCTGGCCCGACATGTTCAATTTCATCAACCTTTGGTTGGTTCTGCGGGATCTCGTTTTTCTTCTGCTTATTCTTCAGCCGTTCTAAGTATATCAGGTTTACGACTTCCGCCTTATTCTATTGATGGTCCATCTTATTTGATGCATCATAGTTCTTTGCGGAGTCTGGTTTGGAATTGCCAAGGGGTGGGGAACTCGCTTACTGTTAGACAATTACTACAACTTAACAAGATTCATTCACCTGATATTATCACTTTGTTTGAAACTAAAAACAATTCATAGAAAATTGAACGGCTGAAACGACAATTAAAGGTGGATTTTTGTTGGTCTATTAATTCAGTTGGGTCGGCAGGGGGTATTGCTATTTTTTGGCGGTTGGAAAATCTGATGCGCATTACTGATCATTGTGACTATCAGATTACTGTGGAACTTTATGCTGCAAAGAAAGGTACTTAGATTCTTATGTTTATTTATGCTAACACTGATGATGTTATTCGGGCGGCACAGTGGGCGTATCTTACACGCATGCAGAAGATTTGGGATGATCGTTGGCTTATAATTGGTGATTTTAATGATTTGTTGTCGCCAATGGAAAAACGGGGTGGACTTCCTAAACCGTGTTGGGTTTTCAAGAATTTTTGAAATTTGGTAGCTAATTGTGCCTTCATTGATTTGGGATTTGATGGGTACCCATTTACATGGAATAATCATCGTTGTGGTGGTGCTAATATTCAAGAAAAATTGGATCGCGCCTTAGTTAGTAAGGCTTGGAGTAGGATGTTTCCTAAAACTCGAGTCCATTATATCACTGTTGCCAGCTCTGATCATTATGCTTTGCTTCTCGATCTCGAGCCAGTCTTTCATAAGAAATCTAGATAATTTCATTTTGAGGCTCATTGGGTGTCTGATCCGCAGTGTGGTGATATTATACGGGACATGTGGAGTGTGCCCATTTCTGGGTCCCAATTGTACCGATGGTCTGAAAAAATAAAAAAATGTAAAAAGCTCTGGTTCACTGGGTCCGGACAACTAATCATCATGCTCAGAAAAAAAAATTACACTAGCTAAAGCCAAATTGCAACAATTAAAGGAAAATTTGGTCGATTGTGATTATGAACAGGTTCTCGCCGTAGAGCAACAATTATAATCGTCTTGGAGACAGGAAGAATTGTATTGGTTCCAGAAAGCCAGGATTCAATGGTTGCAGTTGGGGGATCGGAATTCTAAATTCTTCCATGCTTCTACCATCTGACGACATCATCATAACCATATTTCCAGAGTAGAGGATTCCACCGGCCGATGGATTGAGGACGAATCTCAATTTTGGATGATTTTTCTTAATTATTTTCAAGATTTATTCCACACTCGATCGCCGAGTGGTATTGATCATTTTTTATGGCATGTTTCTCCATGAGTTTCTCCTGAAATGAATAGGAGTCTTCTAAAGCCGCCTTCAGAGGAAGAAATACGCCAAGCAATTTTTAATATGCAACCTTGCAAAGTTTCAGGTCTGGATGAGCTGACACCATTGTTCTATCAGCAATATTGGCCTATCCTCAAAACCAAGGTAACTGCTGCGGTATGTAGTTTTTTACATTCGGGCTATTTTTTATCTAGTATGAATCATACTAATATTGTTTTAATTCCTAAAATTGATTCCCCAACCCAAGTAGCACATTACCGACCCATATCTTTATGCAATGTTTCTTATCGGATAATTGCCAAGTTGTTTTCCACTCGGCTTCGAGAATGTATTCCTTCTGTTGTTAGTGAGACCCAAAGTGCTTTTGTCACTGGACGCCATATCACTGATAATATTTTGATTTCTCATGAAATACTTCGTTATCTAAAAAATAAGCATAAAGGTAAAAATGTTTTTCTTGCTTTGAAGCTTGATATGAGTAAAGCTTGTGATCGTATTAAGTGGTCTTTTTTGTTTGCTATGTTGGCGAAATTGGGATTTCACCCTCATTGGATTAAAATTATCCATGCTTGTATTTCTACAGTCTCTTATTCTGTGATGATTAATGGGAGCCATGTGGGTAGGTTTAAACCTATGCGAGGTTTTCGACAAGGGGATCCTTTATCTCCATACCTATTTATTTTATATGCAGAAGCTTTATCTATTTCCATGCAGGTTGCTCTTCAACATAGAGTGTTATCCGGTATCCATATCTGTCTCTATGCGCCTCCTATTTCACATTTATTTTTTGCAGATGATGCGATTGTTTTTTGCCAAGCTTCACAGTCTGAAATTACATTTCTTAAGACTCTCTTAAAGTGATATGAAAGGGCTTCTGGACAGCAGATTAATTTCTTTAAATTTGCTATTTTTTTCTCCAAAACTACTCGCCCTGCGATTCGGACTACCTTATGTCAGTTGTTGGAAATTCAAGAGGAATGATTGTGTGTTAAATATTTGGAGATGCCGATAATTATCGGACGTTTAAAGTGGGATGTTTTTCATTACATTTCAGAACGAGTGGCGGCTCGCTTAGCAAGTTGGACATCGCTCTTATTGTCACAGGCTGGTAAGTAAATTTTAATTAAAGCAGATTTGAATGCATTACCTACATATGTGATGTCTTATTTCAGGTTGACTCCTAAGCTTTATAACACCATTCTGACACATGTCCGTCGTTTTTGGTAGGGTAAAGCGGGGGCGTCTTCCAATATTCACTAGGTTAAATGGGATTTCTTATGTGCATCAAAAGATAAAGAAGGTTTAGGTTTTTGCAATTTTGAGGCATATAATGAGGCCTTGTTGGCTAAACATGGTTGGAATTTTATGGTTCACCAACAAGGTTTGGCTTTTCAACTTTTTAAAGCTAAATATTTTCGCCATTGTTCATTTTTAGAAGCGCAATTGGGATCTAATCCTTCTTGGGCTTGGTGGAGTATTTGGTTTACGCAACATCTCATTGCAAATGGATCTAGATAGATTGTAGGGAATGGCCACTCTATTAATATCTGGAATGATCGATGGGTTGCTGGTATCCCAGGAAATGGGTGGAATGTGGAGTTTGGTGGCGGAGTTATTCAATCATTCTGGTCATGGGTGGAATGTGGAGTTGCTTGCTTATTTATTTCCATCGTCCACTGTGGGCGCTATACTTCATTGTTCCTTTAGTATGTTTTCTAGAGAAGACAAGTTGGCTTGGGATCTCGAGCCAAATGGTGAGTTTTCGGTGCGATCCGCCTATCGATTGGCTCATTAGTTATTGCATCTTGGTAGTGGAAATTCTCAAGAGGATTCTAAGCTGTTGTCGTCTAATAGGTTGTTTTGGAAGAGTATTTGGAAATGTAAAGTTCCACCCAAAATTCAGCATTTTTTTGTGGAAATACTGTAAGAGGGCTCTCCTAGTTCGTCAGCTACTTTTAGCTCATAGGATAAAGGTGGAGGTAGTGTGTCCCAGGTGTGGCTTGGATCAGGAATCTATTGAACATTTGATTTTCCTATGCCCTCATTCCATCAAGTTTGGAAACACCCCGTTAAGTTTTGATTTTGCATATGCTCCTCCTTCTTCCTTTTCTAATTGGTGGATGGCTTTAGTTGGGCAGTGGGTGGCTACAGACGGGGGAATGGACGTGCTGGGTTTGGTGGCCTGCTGTTGTTGAGGTATTTGGAAGGCCCGAAATAAATTTGTTTTCGATAGAGTTTTTTGGGATGTCGATAGAGTCATTTTTATGGCGTGTTCTCAGTTTTGGAAGTACAAGGATGCATTATCTTTATTTTAATCCAGATTATCTCCAGGCTTGTCTATTCCTTCATTTTCCCGTTGGATGCCTCCAACTAATGGGATGGTTAAATGTAATGTGGATGCGTCTTTTTTCTCTTCATCACACGTTGGGGGTGGTAGTGCTGTCTTTCAAGACTCTAGGGGAACTATTTTGTAGGCAATGGTGTTTTCTCCCTTCCCTGCTGCTAGTGCAACCGTCGCTGAGGCCATTTGCCTTCGTAAAGCAGTTCTTGGGCTATTTCTTCTTTACTTTCATGGGTTTGGTTTGAACGTGATTCTATGATTGTGATTCAAGATGTGTTAGGTGTTGCTTCTGGACTGCTTGCAATTCATCCAGTTGTCTTTGATATTCAAGTAGCGCTTCGGAGATTTAACTTTTATCGCATTAGCCATGTCTATAGAACAGGCAATCAAGTTGCTCACGCTATTGCGAAGCTTTCCCGACATCATATTCCTGGGGATCTTGCTTTTGTTCATATTCCTAGGGATATTCTTACGTTGGCATCCACGGACAGTTTGCATTGTTAGGTGCCGTGGTATTTGCTATCTGCTATCTACTGGTTGACCCGGTCCTTGGCTATGCTAACACTTTCTAGTTTTAGGTTGTTGTCAATGCTGTGATCTTGCCTTTAGTGGGTGTTAGTTTTGCTTTGGATTGTTGTCTGTGTATGTGTTTCTTTGTTGTATGTTCTTGCCATATAGATGTCGTATGGTATGGCGGTTTTCTTGCCAGGAAAAAAAAAAAAAAAATTTTGTTGAAGGTGGCATGTCAACTGATGTTAATTTTATGGATTTTTAAAGTGGAATTGACGTGGCAGTTGACGCCAACTTGAATGGGGGAAATTCAAATACTACTTAGGTGGCCAATTGTGATCATGAGGTTGGAGTAAAAGAAGATGATGCACAAAGGTATGTGGCCTTGGAAAAGGTGACAAAACTTGACCTACCCATTAAATGCTACGAGTATAGAAATTCTGATCCATTTGAATTTCAGTTTTCATCCAAAGTGATTAAATTCAATCTTTTTGAAAACTCTCAAAGTGTTTATATTTCTCAGTGGGTAATTGATTTTTCAATACAAAGAATTTTGGCTCACAATCATTCCCATTGCAAGATGGTTTTGGTGAAATTGGATTCCAAAAAATTGGTCCAGAATAATTTTCATGATTTTGTTCCTTGTGATATAGGGAATTATCACTCTAACAATTTCTTTTCTTCTAAGCTACCCAAGGAGATAAGAAATATGTTAAGATTGGTGTTCTCTTGGAATTGGACAATTAAAAAGCAAGTTTAAGGTCAAGCATTCAATGGTATGAAATTTTATTCATATTAATATATGATGAGTAGCAGCGTAACTCGAGGACGAGTTTTTTCTGAAGTAGAGGGGACTGATGTAGGACAATTTTATCCACTTAGTAATTTTTATTATTTAGATTTCTTATTTATTTTATTGTTATATTTTTTTATAAGAAGTGTAGTTTTATTTAATTTCGTTGAGGAATTGTTTTCCTTTTGCTATTAGGTTTCTTTATGTTTTCGTTTTCTGGTAGAGTTAGGTTTCTATTCTTATAAATAAGCGTACTGCAAAGTGCATAATTAACCTTTTATTCATACAATTATTAAATAATATATTAGATTTCTTTGAATTCTCTTTTCGTTTTGTGGATTCAAAACACCCACCTTGTGGATTCAAGGTAACATGTTCCTCGTGAACAAATTTATCGCTTCCGCTTACGTCATATCCTTTATACTTGATTCTTATGAACTTAATCAGTTGACAATAATTGTCATTTCACATTGAAAATGGAGTGAGAAAAGTGCATTTATCACCTATCATGATATTATTATTTCTTTTATTTTTCATCTTACTAGTCGAAACATACCCTTAGGGCTAGTTTGGTGTGCAAGAATGAAATAGAGTGGGAATGGAATAAAATTGAGAATGGAATGAGAATGGGAATGACCATTCCATTCTAGTGTTTGGTTAGAAACATGGAATGCTGTAAATATGGAATGACGATTCTCATTCATGTGTTTGGTTGAACCAATTTAAAAGTTGGAATGAAATTAATTTACATTGATTTCTCCAAATTACCCTTTATCATGAATAAAGAAATTTAACTTAAAAAAAGAAAAGAAAATAAATTTAACAAAAAAATTAACTTAAGAAATGAAATTGGGGCAAGATCAGGGCAAGAAGGCAAGAAGACGCCATGTTGAGAAGAAGGTGATCGAACAAAGGGGAGGCGTCTCCGCGATGGTGGTGAGATAGGGGGTAGTGAGAGAGGAAAACGGAGGAAGATAAGTGTACACACAAATTTTATAATCTGCAAATAAAACAAAATATGGAGCAAATAAAATATTTTATTAATTTATAAAGATATAGTACAATCCTTTCTAATATTTTTTACAAAAAAGAATGGTCCTTTGATTCGATCTCCTTTTTGTTGTTGGTTGGATCCATGGGCTGCACGAGCTTGTTCTTGAATCGCCGTGGAATTTGATGAGGAACTGCACGATTTGATGTGCTTGTTGTTGATCACCGTGGAATTTGATGAAGACCAGTACGATTTGATGTGCTTGGTGTTCTTCGCTTTTTGGTTTGGATTCTGAATTTGTGCCTCTGACTTCTGAGTCTCTGGATTTCTGGACTTCTGAATTCTGAATTTGTGTCTGAATTTCTGGACTTCTGAATTCTGATTTTGTGTCCTTTGTTGAATTTGAGGAAGAACGACACGTCTTTGGATATGCTTGTTGTTCTTTGTCTTCAGAGAGGAGAGAATTTGTTGAATTTGGTGAAGAACGGCATGACTTTGGATGTGCTTGGTGTTCTTCGCCTTTAGGTTTGTCCTCTGGATTTCTAACTCTCTAATTCTCTCAATTTCTGAGTCTCTGGATTTCTGGACTCTGAATTTTTGTCCCCCTCCTTCTTCCCGCAGGCCTCTATTAATAGGCTTCTTGGGTTGATAGGATGATGACACGTGTCATCTCCTGATAAGGATAAAATTATAACTGGGCCGGACCGGTTATATTATGATAATTATCCTTAAAAATAATTATTCCAAATTATTTTATTAGGAATAATTATCTGTTTATTTAACCATCTGGGTTGGACTAATTAAATAATTTAAATGAACCAAGCTTGAGCCAATTAACTAACTTAATTAAACATTAAGCCCATAATGGGTCAATTTGTCAAAACCAAAGCCCACTAAATTTTTAGTGTTTACAAATTGCCCCCACTTCAAGTCGCAGGTTTGATAAGACTTGGTCTCCTTTTTCAAATGGGACTTGAAATATCCAACTTTCCTTTCCTCTCCAACTTTGGATGGTAAGATTTCTTCTTTTGCTTTTCTATCCAACTTTGATTTGGAATTTTACTTTCCCATTTAAACTAAATTATACAAATCCAAATACAAACAGGAGGTATTTTGTTGCCTATATATACCCCCAATAGTATAGGGTTTGGCATCAATTCCAATATTCTCTGAAGACTTGTCAAATCACAACTTCTGAAGACGGTGTTGGATTGCGGCCTCTGCTCAAATGAATAATTGGCATGACTCTTCTTTTTTCCTTTTCTTTCTTTTTTTTTTTTTTTTTTTTTCAGCTTTTCCTTTTTTTTTTCACCCATTTTTTCCACGCTAGAAAATTTTCATCACCCATGTTTTTCACGCTAGAAAATTTTCACGAAATTTGTTTTTTCTCTTTTTTTTTATTTTTTTCACGAATTTTTTTTCCTCATTTTTTTCTTTTTTTTCACAATTTTTTTTCCCACGTTTTTTTTTTTTTTTTTTTTTTTCTTTCCCTTTTTTTTTTTCTCTTTTTTTCACAACACTCTTTTTTTTTTTCACGCCTTTTTTTCTTTCCTTTTTTTTTTTCTCTTTTTTGCACGAATTTTTTTTTCTTCCTTTCTTTTTTTTCTTTTTTTTTTATTTATTTATTTCACTTGCCTTTTTTCTTTCCTTCTTTTTTTCCCTTTGTTTTTTTTTTTTTTTTCTCTCTCCCTCTCTCTCTCTTTCCCCCCCCCCCCCCCTTTTTTTTCTTTTCCTTTTTTTCCCTCTTTTTTTTTTTTTTTTTTTTTTCTTTTTCTTTCCTTTTTTTTTTCTCTCTTTTTTTTCACGAATTTTTTCTTTCCTTCTTCTTCTTCTTTTTTTTTTTTTTTTTCTCTTTTTTTTTTTTCACCAAAAATTTTTTCTTTCCTTTTT